CTCAAAGGACCAGGAAGCAAGGGCAGGGACTCTTGGGGGGGGGGGCGGGAAAGGAGTGGGGGATGGGTGGGAGGAGGGCTATGGGGGAGGGGCGAATAAGAACATGTCACAAAATGTCACAAAATCCATTTCTTTGCACGCTAACCAAAAATTAATAGCAAAACAAACAAAAAGCCCTCCAAACAAAACAAAGCACAAAGGAAGCAGCCAGTTGCCCCGCTCCTGATTTAGAAAGATCCTACATCGCATTTTAATTTGAATTGAGCACAATTTCTGGAAGCTGTACCCTCTCAAGGCATCAAGCTTTCAGAAAGGCCTGGAGTAAACTCATTTCCTCAGGGAAGAGGAGTGTAACCGAGCAACCAGCTCCCACTTGGACTCAAGAGAATCTGGAAACAAAAAAAAGTAGATATTCAAGGATGGCAATCCTTTCTTTAAATTTATTATTATTTTTTGTATGTGTACGGGTGGTTTGCCTACAGGCACGCACACCACTTTTGTGGAGGCCAGATGAGAGTGATGGGTCCCCTAGAACTGGAGTCACTGAGAGCTGTGAGCCTGTACGTAGGCACTGGGAATTGAACCCTGGTCCTCTGGGAGAACAGCCAACGCTCTTAATCACGGAACCATACCCATCTCTCCAGCATCGCCCCCCCCCCCCCACTTTTCCAGACAGGGCATCTCTTTGTAGCTCTGGTTGGCTTGGAACTCTTTCTTCCCCAACTTGTTTTGGGTCAATGTTTCCTCAGCAGCAGAAGCAGGCTAACAGCCTGTCTTGTCGAGCGGCTGACTCCCTCCCTCTTAATGAAGGTTCCCAACAGCGAGCTCTTGACTTATGAATCAGCAGCTGACTTTTCTCCTGTGGCAGCAGAGGATGTGGCTTGCATGATTTTCATCTCACTCTCTCCTATCATCCCAACATAATTATCTCTCCCTTTGCTACTTCTGTTAGGTTTTATTTGCAACTGCAGGGAACAAACTTCTTTTTCAGTCTTGTTCCAGCCACAGCTGTTGTGGAGAAACAGGCTACAGCCATTGGGGAGAAAGGAAATGCCGGGTTCTTCCCCTGGAGTCCATGTCTAATGCCCGGTCTCTGTCTTCTGGGTTTAGTTTCCCTTTGTCAGGACTGATCTATTGACTTTCTGTCTTGTAGCCATTACGTTTGTTTCCTTTATCTGTTGATTCTGAAAACTGTAAGTCAGCCAGTGATGTTTACATCCTCGTAAATCAGAAGAGGTTTCCTCACTGAGGGTCTACTGAGTGGGTGGACTGCCTGGGACAGAGCACAGCAGACAAAAACAGCATGGCCTGGAAATAATGAACTCACTAGGTCATCCCTGCGAGCCTCGTTTAGATCTGAAGCAGTCTGATGTTAATCTTCTGAGGGGAGGATGGAATTTTGGTTTTCACAATGACATCGTGGCACTTGCATAGGATCCCAGCATCTGAAGGTGGAGGCAGCGGGATCCAAAGTTCCATGCCAACCTGAACTATGCATAAAAGATATGGTTATGTTGGGCATGGTGGTGTATGTCTTTAAGTCCAGCACTTGGGATTTTTGTGAGTTTAGGGCCAGCCTGGTCTACAGAGTGAGTTCTAGAGCAACCAGGCCTATCCAGAGAGACCCTGTCTCAAAACAAACAAACAAAAAACAAAAACAAAACACCCAAATAAGTAAATAAAAATAAGGACACTGTTTTTGTCAATTTCTATTTGGATGAATTTGAATTTAAAAAAGCATTTGTGTCTTCTTACCCTTAAAATAGGGATATTAATAGCTACCCTTGTCAGGAAGATTAAAGGGTGTTTATAAAATGTTTAGAATAACGGCTGATACATTTTAAATGCTTTATAAATTTTGAAAAAAGAAGAATCCTGGGGGGGTGGATGAGGAAAAATTAGAAATATTCTTATCTAGAATACTCTTCTGTCTGCTGTCTTCATCACAGGGACAGTCATTGACTGTTGTGGTAGAGGTCTGATTATCTTAGGACACCAAGAGTTGGCTCTTCGGCCTCACTCCTAGCCATGTAGAGCTCACCTCTGGCCCTAAGTCTAGGAAGCCCAGGATCAAACCAAGGGGCTTGTGCATGCTTAACAAGGGCTGCTACTGAGCCATGCCCAGAGCCCAGATGTCAATCTCAGGGTCTCTTAAAGAGTTGGATAAATGGTAAAAACCAGGGAAGATTGTCTTGACTTCCCGCTCCTCCTAAGCCAGGGCAGTTCCACTGACTGTTGACAGCTTTTGATGAAAAACAGGCAGGTGTAAGCCGCTCAGCCCTTGTGGTTTCTGCACACTCTCTGTGTGTTTTGGGTCAAAAGGCTTTCTTGTGGTTGCTTCAGCTTTGGAGAACTGCCCTGCCTAAAGCAAAGAGAAAAGTGACCTCCTGATACAGGGCAAAGGACAGATGGGAGAGCGCAAGTGCAGGGGAGGGACTCCTCCTCACACCCTAGGTCTAGGAATGGCTTTAGAGGCTGCACTTAGGGAAACCCAAGACAGCAGTGTCCACTGAGGGTTCTCAGGGATGTATCACTGACCTCTGCTTTTCTTGGGACTTTTCTAGCTGTTAGCTGTGGATTTTAGGCAGTCAGGTGCAAATATTCCCATTCCCTCTGGAATTGAATAAAAGACTCAAATTCTCCAAAATATGATTTTCCCCCCAGTCATCTGTTTTCCATTAGGGTCTGAATTTCCAGACTCTTAATAGGTGGTGCTCAGCTCTGTATTACATAGCTCACTGCACATCAAGATGCAAGCACTTCTATGGAAAAGATCATTCTAGAAAGTCACACATGATTTCATTGACTTACTCAAGTTTAGAATTCACTTACTAAAAAATATAACTTTATGGAATTTTCTTGTTTAATTTTAATTTTTTACTGCAATCCAAAAATTAAAAATTTGGTCATTGAAAATGAAAGGAACCTCTCCGGAAACAAAAGAATCAAAGAAAATGCCTTTATTGTAGTGCCGACACCTGTGAGGATGCTTCCTCTTCCTTATTCTGAAAACAAACAGATTTAGTGTCTTTATCCTTCTTACACACCACCAAAGAGTTCAGTAAGAGCTCATATATTCTTCATGTAAGGCAGCTGGAGAAGAACAAAGTAGAGAAGGAGAGAGAGAGAGAGAGAGAGAGAGAGAGAGAGAGAGAGAGAGAGACACACACACACACACACACACACACACACACACGAAGGGAGGGGGGAGGGAGGGAGGGAGAAAGAGAGAGCGCTCTTTAGAAGCCCAAGGTCTAAGAAGCTAGAGGCTCTCCTCCTGGAGAAAAGGAAGCTAGAGTATTTGCATAGAAATTAAAGCCACTCAGAAGAGGGAGAGAGATGTAGAAAGTGGAGACAGGGAGGAAGGGAAGGGGAGAAAGAAAGAGAGGGAGAGAGAATTGTGTTAGTCCAGGTGAGGAGGGGTTCTGTTTTAAAATAGTATTATTTTGTTCAAGATCCTTACACACTCCAATATACTCAGTATCATTAAGATTGCTTGTTTCAGAGAGAACTCTCAACAGAGGAATCTAAAATAGCTGAAAGACACTTAAGGAAATGCTCAACATTTTTAGTCATCAGAAAAATGCAAATCAAAACAGCTCTGAGATTCTATCTTACACCTGTAAGAATGGCCAAGATTAAAATCACTGATGACAACTTCTGCTGGAGAGGTTGTGGGGTAAAAAGAATATTACTGCATTGCTGGTGGGAGCTGGTACAGCCCCTTTGTATATCAGTGTTGTGATTTCTCAAAAAATTAGAAAAGAACCTTCTTCAAGATCCAGCAATACGACTTTGGGGTATTTATCTAATGGATGCTCAACCATACCACAAAAACATGTGCTCAACTATGTTCATAGCAGCATTGTTTGTCATAGTCAGAACCTGGAAACAACCTGTAAAACTCTAGGACCTAACAACTGCACATGCACATACTAGAATTTTGGGGATTTTCCTTCTCCTTGAGTCCTTGTGAATGTTCTCCAAATAGAACTCAGTTATTAGAATAGGGCCAGATAGCCCTTAGGTGTTGACTCAGTTCCTGGTGTTTTGACTCAGTCCCTGGGAAGGGGGCAAAGTGACCCTCAGATGTTCCCTCTTACCTCACCTGATCTGGCAACCATTCTCCAGGCAATTATTGGTAATAGCCCTTTGAATAAGCCAATTATAATAGTTAAAGGACAACCCCCAGAATCCCCCCTTGTTTCTGTGGCTTTTTGCTTTAAAACTAGCCTGTACCAGCCATTTGGGGTCTTTTTGGCTTCTTAAATGCTGAAAGACCTTGTGGCGGCAGAATTAATAAAATCCTCATGCTTTTACATCAATTGTGGTGTGGGAGATGGTCTCTTGGGGCAACTCCTACTGGTAGTTGGGCTTCAAGGTCCAACAAACCTAAATTCCCCTTGACCGAAGAATGGATAAGGAAAATGTGGTATATTTACACAATGGAGTACTACACAACAGAAAAAATGACATCATGAATTTTGCAGGCAAATGGGTGGAGCTAGAAAACATCATTTTGAGTGAGGTAACCCAGACCCAGAAAGACAATTATCATATGTACTCACTCATAAGTGTTTTTTAAACATAAAGCAAAGAAAACCAGCCTATAAATCACAATCCCTGAGGACCTAGACAACAATGAGGGCACTAAGAGAGACATACATGGATCTAATCTACATGGGAAGTGGAAAAAGACAAAATCTCCTGAGTAAATTGGAAGCATGGGGACCATTGGAGAGGGTTGAAGGGGAGGGGAGAGGAAGGGAGGGACAGAGATAAATGTATAGCTCAAATTAAAAAAATAAAAGATTGCTTATTTCAGGGTTGGAGAGATGGATGGGTTGTTGAAAGCATTAGTTCTTGCTGATGACAAGGATTCAATCCCAGTACACACAGGGTGATTCACAACCATCTGTAACTACAGTTTCAGGGGTCTGACATCTTCTGGCCTCTGCAGACACTGCACACACATTGTGTGCAGACATGCACACATGCAAAACACCCATACAGACTTCTTTAAAAAATTACTTGTTTTAGTTAAAACAAAGGTAACTAAAGAAACTCCAGCCAACTAAGAATGAGTGCGTACCAATATTCCAATCTAGAATTTTAAAAATTGTACACTAACATCTATTAAGTTAGAGAATCCATTTTACTGCCAATCAATTTAGAAGATTATATCAGTATTTTAAAAATCAAATATGTTTATAGGAAACTTATAGCAAATATTTCAGGTTGTTGATTTTTAAATTTTGCTGTTACTTTTATCTCCATTTTTTTTGATGGGGAGTGGTGTATAAGAGCATTTCTGTGTATACCCATTAAGGCATTTACTTTGGAAACAAGAGCAGTGTTAAGAATAAATTCTGGGGTTTAGTCTTATCTCAATTACCTACTACCTGGGACACAAGGGAAGTTTTGTTACTATTTGATTTCTGCTTCCTCATAAATGAACAGGAGGTATAATATTAACTTTATTGTGATGAATAAATATTTACAAAATGCCCAGACTAGGGTTTGTCACATGACAAGCTGTGTTCATGTGAACAAGAGTCTCAAAGAATTCTGGGAGTCATTCTTCTGGCTGGGTCTGAGTAAACCCCAGTATTTCAGAATTTGAGAAGAGCCACTTGGCTGTGCAATAAACATTTAGGTTGAAGACATAGTCTACGATATACCCCTGACTGTTCAGTTCCCCCTTTAAGGAGGGTACAAGGAGCAGATATTGAACAAATGGGGAAAGATGATTCTGAAAGATATAGTACAAATTCTAATTGGTCTTAATAATAAAGATACAGAGTCAGAAATTAGGGTGTGAAAGCTTAAAGAGCAGGGAAGCAGACCAGTCTAAGCAGGGGTAAGACTAGATCTTACCTCTATGAAATCCTCAAACAGAATGGGGTATATGTCTCTATAAATCCTCAGACAAATCCTGAGCTCCTGTCCTCTCCCACCTTATATTCCTCTATCTGCCCAGCCATATTACTTCCTATCTCTACCTTCCTCATGCTGGGATTAAAGGTGTGAGCCATCGCTGCTTGACTCTGTTTCTCTTTTAGGCTGATCCAATCTTGTGTAGCACAGGGTAGCTTTGAACTCACAGAAATCCATTTGCCTCTGTCTCCCTGGTGCTGGAATTAAAGGTGCATGCCACCACTGCCTGGCCTCTATGGCTAACTAGTGTGGCTAACTTTGTACTCTGTTCTTCAGTCAAGTTTTATTTGCTAAAGCGCAAACAGAATGTCACATTTCCCCTTTATGTCTAAAATAAAAAAGGTTATAACTAATATAAGAAAAACTATATACAATAAGTACAATAGCAAGATATATAATCTACACAGGCAATAAATACATCAACAGTGTCTAGTCCATTTACATTAGGCAAATTCAGAGAAAATACCCCATTATTTATTCTATATTGGGGAGTCCAAAGCATTGTTCCTAATTCACTTTTATTCTAACTTGCCTTATCAATGCAAAATTATCTTTTTATGTCTTTCATCCTTATACACTTTATATTTCAATAGTGAGTTTCTTTTCTGAGTATGGTAAACAAGGAAAACTATAGCTATAACTATCTAGTCTTCAACTCCCTCAGAAACCTGGGAATGAAATGATATTAACTAAATAAAGCAGAAAGTGCAAGCAAGTGACTTCCAAAAAATGTGAGAAATGGCAGAAACAGATGGTTGCCTGGACAGTCACTCAAGGTTCCTCTGCAATGTTGGGGCATCCATCTTTGGCCTACTTACAGACTTTTCTAGGAAGCAAGATATTCTGAAGGGCTGTCCTACCTTGTATTGGCAAAATTTGGCAGTCACTTTCTTTTGTGTCCTGTTTGTTCAATTTGGACAGCTAACTAGTATGGTTAGCGCCACACTCTGATCTTCAGGCAATCTTTACTTGCTAAAGCACAAACAAAATATCACCACAGAGAAAGTTAAATAAAGCCCAATTCCCAAAGAAACAGTTCTGGGAGAGTAAATGACTTGCCTAAAAAGATGCTGCTTCTCAGGATCAGGGCTAGGGTTTAACGCACAGCATTTTCAAAAGCAGCTTCGTTAAGTAACAGTACACATGGTACACATACCGTATCATTTAGCTGTAAAGTATATAGCTCAGTGGATTTTAGAATGCCTTTGGAGTTGCATGGTCACCATGACAAATCAGATTAAATTCTAGCCCTCTCACAAAGAAACCGTGGGTTCATTCACAGTCAGGCCCCATTCTCTCATGTCACCCTCCCCAGTGTAACATGACCCCTGGTCTCTCTCTCACAGTACATTTCACACAACACAATCACACTGTCAATATAAAAATTACTCATAATGAAATAAGAAAAAAATTATTTTGACCTGGGAGCATAGAATCAAGTTATGCTGATAACATGATACATCTAAATAAATTTTGGTCATAGAACAGAACAAGGCCATAATTCAATATATTTACCAATTACATTGATGGAGCCATCAGGTCAGGTGAGCTATGGGAGGGCAAATAAGTCTCCTCTATATTTTCCTGATGTTATTGCATTCTTGAATTTAGTGCTGATGCATATTAAGAAAATATTTAAAGCTTAGTGATATGATTCAGAAGTTTTATCTTGAAGTCAGTAGGCTTAGGCCAGACACAGAGGTTAGTTGTGTAACATTGGCAATTGTTTTGAAATATTCCATTTCTCCATAACTACTGTTCTTGTCAGCCAAGGGTTGGTAGACTGCTCTTAATCAAATGTGGCTTCTGTATAGAACTTTGTTTCACACACACACACACACACACACACACACACACACACACACAAAGTTGTCTTTTGTGAATGGTTTCTTTCACTTACTAGCTATGGAGTTCAAGGTTCTTTCAGATTCTCTCCCTCTCTCCTCCACTCTTCTCCCTTCCCTGAATCTATTCCACTGACTAGCCGTAGCACATTTTGTTTCTCTGCTCATTGAGGAATATTTAGTACACTTATCATGTTTGATTATCATTAAGAATTGTTTCTGTGGGGCGGCAAGATGGCTCAGGAGATAAGGTGTGAGCACATAAGCCCAGGTGTCTGAGTTCTGTCCCCAAAACTCACACAAGTAAAAGGAGGAACTCTGCAAAGCTGTCTTTTGTCCTCTAAACACAGTAATAATTCTAAAACAATTTTAAGGGATTGCTTGAAAATGCTGCTATGAACACTTATGAACAAGTTTTTGTGAGTCTTCAATTTCCTACAAGACACACCCCCCCACATACACACAAACAACCGGAATAGGGATGTAGGCAATATGATAACATGATATCTCTCTGTTTAACTTTTTGACTATTTTATATCTTCACTAGCAATGTATGAAGGCTTCAATTTCTCCACATCCTGACTTACATTTGTTTCTTTATTCTGTTTTAAAAATTATTTTCATATTTATCCTGTGACTATGATGTGATATCCCACTGTGGTTCTGATTTTTTTGTTTTCTTTAATAAAAAATGATGTTGAATGTAGCAAGCTTTTTTCTTTAGGTCACCAATCAGCTCCCAAATCATGACACAGACACGTATTATTAGTTTTGGATGTCCAACCTTAGCTTAGATCTTATTTTAATCTGTTTCTCCTTATCTATGTTTTGCCTTGGGTCTTTTTGTCTTGCTTTCTTTATATCTTACTTTCCTGCTGGCTGTATGGCTAGCTGGTGGCTGCCTGGCTTCTGTCCCTGGGTGTGTCCCTCTCTTTCTCCCTCATTCTTTCCTTCTTTCCTCTTGAGCATAGATTTCTTCTCCTACTTATTTTCTCTGCCTGCCAGGCCCACCTATTCCTCTCCTGCCTAGGTATTGGCTGTTCATCTTTTTATTAGACCATCAGGTGCCTTAGGCAGGCAAGAGGAAAGAAATGCAGCACAGCTTTACACAGTTAAACAAATGCAGCACAAACACATGTAACACACCTTTGCGTCATTAATAAAGGCAGCACAAACACATGTAACACACCCTCACAAAGTTAAATTCTGCAACGTAAACAAGTGTAACACATCTTTGCATCATTAATAAAGGCAGCACAAACAAATGTAACACACCTTTGCTCATTAATAAAGGCAGCAGAAACAAATGTAACACACCCTCACAGAGTTAAATTCTGCAACGTAAACAAGTGTAACACATCTTTGCTTAGTTAAAATTGTGGTGGTGTTTTGTTTATTCTATAACAAATAAAGCTTGCCTGAAGGTCAGAATGCAGAACTAAGCCACTAGTTAGTCATAGAGGTCAGGCAGTGGTGGCACACACTTTTAATCCCAACACTGGAGAGACAGAGGCAAACAGATCTCTGTGAGTTCAAGGCTACCCTGGGCTACATGAGATTGAATCTGTCTGAAAAAAGAAGCCGAGCTCACATAAAGGTGATCACAGCACTTGGGATCACTGAAAGACCCTCGAAGAGGACTTTCTCTCAGGAGGAGACCTCCCCGCTGCCAAGGAACAGGCCAAGACCATACGGATGCAAATCGCAAGAGGTTTATTGGGTAAACACAGGTACCTGGGGGCGGCAAGTCTTTCGGAGGACTTGCTTGCCTGTCTACTGGAGGGCGGGTTTTTTATAGGGAAGAGCAAAGAGCAAGTTTACAGAAGCAAAAGCGTGGTTATCAGGATGAGGCCGGGGCATGAATGGTTTCCTCTCTCAGCATGGGTGTCAGCAAAAGTCATCCTGTTCCTATCTTATAGATATCCTGTTTTGCAGTCAACCTGCTTTGTTGATGTCCTATCTTATTGATATCCTGCCTTGCAGTCTTTCTATCTCATACTGCTCTCTCAAGCACATGGGATGTTCTTACGAGAGCAGGCTCGCTGCTGTGGGTTTTGAGGAGGGGGTCTGTAGGGTCTTTCAGTCACAAGCCTTTGATCCTAGCACTAGGGAGGAGGAGACTGGAGTGATATGACTGGGTGGAGAGAGGAATATAAGGTGGGAGGAGATAGGAGCTAAAGGCAATCTGAGGAGCATGCAGTCTGAAGACAGGATCGCCCCTTTGGTCTAAGCACTGGTGGAAGTAAGAGTGGCTGGCCGCTCTGATTCTCTGATCCTTCAGCTTTCATCCACTAATAGTTTACTCCAACTTTTTATTATTAAGACTAACTAGAATTTGTGCTACATCAGATGCCCAACATGATATTTTGCTCATATTCATCCCTACTCCTACCCACAAACCCTCTCAGATCCAAGCCTCCCCCCCAGCTCCTCTCAGCTTTGGGTCCTCTCCCAAACATATTTTTAGTGGCCATTTGCATTTCTTCTCTGACAAGTGTTGACTCAAGTCCTGCGTTTATTTTAAAAACCTGGGTAGTCTTTCAGTTGCCAAGTTTCCAGCACTGTTTATATATTCTGGACTCCCACATCTGATACTTGCTTTGTGAATATTTTCTTTCATTCCATGGGTTGATTTTTTTCCCTTTGTCAATAGAGTCCTTGGAAGCACTAAAAGTTTTTAATTTTGGTAAAGTCTAATTTATCAGGTTTGTTTTGTTCAATCCTGTACTTTGGGTACCATGGGGCATAGTAAGGAAGTCTTCTCGGCTTTAGCCTTTACTAGGAGAATGACTTGGAAATGATGCGTCTTTTTGTTCTGTTTGTGCTTTGCTCAGCCATTCTACCTTCTTTTCATCCTGGGGAAGGAGCCAGGCAATCATGCAGCTTATGCACGCCTCTGTGACACAACCATGGGTCAGTCAGTATTTTCATCTACAAAATCAACCCCTTTCGCTTAACTTACCAGAACACATTCATAAAACAAGATGTCTCCCAAGTCTAGAATTGCACATAAAAGTCAATCTTTGAATTTGCTGCTATTTTGCCTTCGATACTCTCTTCACTTTTCAGATGAGGAAGTCAACTCTAGAGAAGTGAAGTGGTTCGTCTGTACCCCTGGCCCAGTGTGGCGTCCAGGACTCAGACACTCTTACATGTTTTGGTCTTCTCTTTGATCACGAAGATGTTATCGGGTTTTGAGAAACTGTTGTAGAGCCTCTTTTCTCGGGGAGACACAAAGAAACAATGGAAAACTTCAGTAAGAATCCACCAAAGTCCTCCTTGGGCAACAAGTGAGCGTCCTGGGATTACTGACAGAGCAGGGTGAGGGGTCATTTCCAGCAGCAAAATCACTGAAACTTCTCACCTATACGGAGTCGTAGCTGTGTAGGCGAAGTGGCCCTTTCAACCTACCTTCCTCACATATACATCGTAGAAACTTACAAGAACATAGAATTAATCCAGCGGGTTGGGAGGTGCAAGAGGAGGGACTGGGAGCTCCAGTGAGGGTCCTGGAATCTCTGCGTGTACTGGATCCTTCTATGAAGGAGCATTGTCAGCCAAGAAGCCTGAGGTGGACAATTTTTTACAGGTAGTCACAGCGGCTCTGATGAGAATAATGAAATGACTGTTAGCCATGCTGGAGGACGGATTCTGTAACTTGCTGGAGAAAATAGGCCATTCAAACAGAGAAGTCGGCCTTCTAGGTCTACGTAGGCGTGCACATAGAATAACCTTAGAATATGAAGAAAGCGTCAACAACAAAACACTCCTTTCCCTACTAACTACAGGAGAGCTACAGAGACAACCAGCAGACAAACATCTGACGAGGCCTGGGGTAACAGCCTCAAGGCTAACAGGAGAAAGGCACAGCCTTCATCAGTTCAGCATCAGTGTCAACAGCCTTGAGTGGTTCCCAGGTAGGTGTCAAGGGAGGCACCCTCAGTTCAGTGCCTTCAGACCTGTGCTTTTCATCTAAGAAATGATGAGAACTCTTCTTGAAACACTGGCATGGTTATAATTTATTTTGGTTCATTGAATTTATTTAATGCTTAATTTTTGAGAATATCATTCATGAACACTGCACCCCCCCACACACACATTTTAAGCTCGATTTCTCTAGAGCCTTTCAAACATTCTTAGTGTTATTCACCCCTTCTGCCTTTCCCTCTTTATTGCCCCCTTCTCTCAGTTAACTACCCCCACCTCCCACTGCATGTCACCTGTCCTGCCATTCCCCCATCTCCTTCACATTCCCACAACAACCCCTTTCTATTCTCCTTGCTTCTAAGGTTACCCCAAGTTGCACACTCAAAGCTAATGTTTGGCAGCTGGGAGTCACAACTGGGAACACTTGTCTTTCTGAGCCTGGGCTACCTCATTCAGTATGACAATTTCCGGTTTGGGATATAACTTCAAACGTTTTTAAACTACTTTTATTTTATTGCTATTTGTGTTTGTGCAACCACAATGGTGCACACATTCTGCACTGGGCACATGGAGGTCAGCTCTCTCTTTTCCCTGTGGGTTCTGGGGAATGAACTCAGGTAATTAAGCCTACATGGCAAACTCTTACCTGCTTAGCCATCTTGTCAGCCCAGTATGACTTTTCCAAATTTCATGACATATGCCACATGATAACTTCCTAGAAAATTAGCAACATATGATCCCATTAAAAAAATTAAGACTGAGCCAGGCCTGGTGGTTCAAGGCCAGTCAAGGCTACAGTGTGAGCCTAGGCAACTTAATGTGACACTATCTCAAAATAAAAAATAAAAAAAGGTGGGTGCTGGTAGAGTACCCACATGCATCAGACCCTCGACTCAATTTCCATAAACAAAACAAAAAGTAAATAGATGAAGAGATAAAAGCAACGATGGAGGTTTTATCTTAGTGATCCTAAGTGGGAGCGTGCTCAGACCTCTAGCAGTGCGAGGGATCAGACCACAGTTCACATTCTCATGCACCTCTGCCATCAACAATTACACAGCGACCATCCTGTGCTAGCTAGGGAGTCTTTTGCGGTCATAGAACACCATGACTAAAAGCAGCTTGAGGAGGAAAGGTTTATTTCCGCTCACAGTCCACGTCAGAGTCCATCACTAGGACAGGAACTCCAACAGTGAGGGAGCCTGGATGCAGGAGCTGATGCAGAGGCCATGGAGGGGTGCTGTTTTACCGGCTTGCTTCTCGTGACTTGCTCAGCCTGCTTTCTCATAGAACCCAGGACCACCTGCCCAGGGATTACATCATCCACAGTGAGATGGGCCTGCCTACATCAATAGTCAATCAAGAAAATGCCCCACAGGTTTCCCCACAGGCCAGTCTGGTGGAGACATTTTCTCAATTGAGGATCCTGCTTCCTAAATGAATCTAGCTTGTATTAAGTTGACATAAAACTAGCCAACACAGTATCTCAGCACTGAGAAGGTTGAGTCAGGAGGATTACCAGTTCAAGGTTAGTCTGATCCTGTCTCAAAAAAAAAAAAAAAAAAAAAACCAAGAATTGGGCATATAACTAAGTTCCAGAAGGTTCATGCAGCATCCTAACATGTACCACATCTTATACAATCTTTAGCTGTTTCACTATAATTTATAGCACATGTTATTAAGGAGTTATATTCAATTTGTCTGTGTATGTGACCATGTGTGTATGCTCATCGGTACACTAGTGCTTGCATGCATGCAAGTACACAAATGTGCACACTTGTGTGAAGGCCCAGAGGCCAATCAACCGTAGATGTTGTTCCTCAGGACAGCTGTCCATCTAGGTTTTGAGACAGGGCCTCTTCTCCGGGACATGGGACTCTCCCATTAGGGTGGGGTTGTGACGCATGCTTTTAATCCCAGCACTCAGGAGGCAGAAGCAGGTGAATCTCAGTGACTTCAAGGCCAGGCTGGTCTACAAAGCAAGTCCCAGGACAGCCAGGACTATTACTCAGAGAAACCCTGTTTCAAAAAACAAAACGAAACAAACAAAAACAGAGAGAAAGAGAGAGAAGTAAATTGAATTCCTGGCTGATACTCTGCATGAAGATCAAGTGTGATGTGAATTTAAATCTGAACGTCTTATCTAAGAGTTCACTGCACCAGCTGCCCAAGCTAGACCTTTTCATTCTTGTTTGCAGTCCTGGGGTGAGCACTCCAGCACTGAGCTGGAGCCGCTCCCTGGTGAGCTCTGTGCACCAGCACCCAGGGCTCTGGTTGTGTAGTTTATCCGGTTTCTGTGACTGCTGACCCCAGGGCAGCTCTGCAGAGGAGCAGGAGGTTCCGACCTCCTCTGTGGTCTCCACTTGTCATCTGGGTCTTCCCTTCAAGATGACCACAGAAATACGTTCTAATTTACTTCATAAGAAAGCATCCTCACTCAGGGAGCCAGGAGAGTGAAGGAGAGGCCACGGACTCAGTGCCCAGCCAACTTGTTGCCTGCAGCAGTGGCTAATGGTCTTAATACAATTCCTCTTTCCTGTTGAGGCTGTTACCACGTGCACTGAAATCACCTGACACTCCGGGAGCCCTTTTCCTTTTTAAACAGCACCTTTGTTCTTTGTAGCCTTTCAAGCCCCTGAAGACTTATCTGCTTGATTTCCCTGAGGGCTTTAGAGAACTACCAGACCCTATCTTCACCAGTTACACTAGGTGGCCTGCTGGTGTCAGCTGTCTGTACACGGGAGCACGTGAGGAAGATGACGCTCTGTCACCGAGCTCTGTCTGCCGCACAATGAAATCATTGCACAGTCTGCATTAGAGGCCAGTTTACGTGGAGGAGGGGGTATAAATGAGGCAAAAAATAATAGTGTACTCCCCTTTTTCATTAGATTTTCTTTATCACCCAGGCTTCAATCCATGACCTTGAGCTTTCTAACTGCTGTACCGCTTGCTGTCCAGTTTTAGCTCGGAGTCGCCCTTACTGAGCACCCAAAGTTCCTCTAGCTCACCCATTTGAATGCGCCCACTCGAGTCTCTGTTTGACTGGCTTTCTCTAATGAAGAGTCATTCCATGTCCCAGCTCCTGACTCCTTCCCTGCTCTACCGAGTGGACCCAGGCTGGTCATTCCTAAGTGTCTTGATGCTCCCTGCCGTCTTCCCTTATGCCCTGCCTGCAGTAAGCTGACCACTCCCCAGTGCCCTCCCACAATCGCTACTGAGGGATGAGATCTTGAGGCTCCTGGAGGAACTGCTGTCAATGTCCAGACTCCCTGTACCACATTTCCCACTCTCCTTCCCATCTGATGACATCATGGACGCTGATCACAAAAAGTGTCCCCATCCCATCACCAAAATCCACCTGAGTCCCTGCACCTGATCCCAGACATATAGATACACACACACATAGACACAGACAGACACACACACACATATACACAGAGAGACATACACACGTACAGACACAGACAGACACACACACATACACATACACACACACAGAGAGACAGACACACACACAGACACACAGAGACACACACACATGCATGCACACAGACACACACATACACACATGTGTGCACACAGATCAGGCATCTCTCCTTCCTCCAGCCTTCTAAAGGTGTTCCTTCCTCTTCCTGGTGGAGTTGGTTCTTAAACAACAAGTAGTTTTCTGTTCTGGAAAGAATTCTTCAGAGCCTGAGGGCTGGGCTGTCAGAGAGGAAGCACTTTACTTTGATGTCAAGTTGGAGGCTTATGAAGTGAACTGATAAAAGATTATTGGAAGAAAAGCTTTTGGAACCAGAAAAACGTGATTAGAGAGGCAGAATTAAGGGTGCAGGGGCACTGTAAGGAGGAGGACAGAAACCTGGTTTCCTTTTCTGCTGCTGTGATGAGACAGTGACGAAAAGCAACTCTGGGGAGAAAAGACTTCCTGTTGTACAGAATTCGGAAGAGCACTGGTAGTTTCAGTTGGGTGTTACATGTTGCTTAGTAATGATGGGCACTGTCCTGGTGGGGGACTGGTAGTCTTCTAGGGCTTTGTAACAGGCCTACAGTTGATTTCCAAAGAGCAAACATTTCTGTGCCATAAAATTCCTATTCTGATCCAAAGCCCCAGGGCCTCCTCTCTTGACTCTCCCTTGGAAGATGACATGCAGCTAGCTCCTGGGCCGAAAACATATCCTTCAGCACAGGCTGGCCTGACCTAGAACACTGTGTTCCTCTGGGTTTTACTCAAAAGTGAATGTGTTTTGAGCTAAACAATAAATACATCAAAGCAATTTCCCAGTGGTTATCTATATTTATGATATTCGAGCCCAAAGAGGCCACGACGTAACCTCCAGAAGAACAGGACAGAAAGAGCAGCATTGTGCGTCTTATCTCCAAGGGGCCTCTATATGCTTCACAGATGCAACAGGTGTTCAGATTCCAGTGGAGTTTAACCTCCGTTCTCTGGTACTTGTCTCATTAGCGCATCCAGACCACAGAGTCCACAAGAACCAATGCCAGCAACATGAGCCAGAACCGCACTCTGCAGAATGTCATTTCATGTGAGGTCCTGATGAGCTCTATTTGTGGAAGACAGCTGAAAGGTTCACCAAGCCCGAGAATATGTGTCTGCCCTTACTGAAAGGAAACCACTTCCTACTTCTTAAAATAACCAGGATTGGAAAGAAACTGCACCAGGTCATTAGTGATATTAGGACACCGAGTGCCGCAGAAAGACTGGTACCAAGCGGCGGAAGAGCTCCTGGGCTGGAGCTGCTGTCTGATTAACTCTGAGAGCCTAACAGCATTCGCCACGTGCCTCTGACTGGCAGGTGGGACTGAGAATGAGATTCCCATGAAGATGATCATCCCACATTATAGAATCTCTTGATAGCCGAGCTGATCTTTGCTGTATCCAATGAGATTGCCTCTGACTTACTTGGCCCTTCCTTTCCGAATGCCCCTTCCAAAGATCAGGTATGAAGATCAGGTATGGAAGTATTCCTATCTCACTTTCTATTGGTGATCAAGGAAGTAACTACAGGGCAGGGCTCAGAGGTCCAAAAGATCTACTGTGCCCTGAATGTAGGTCAGGATTTCATTTATCACTTAGTGTTGTTGAATTTCTAGCAGAGGGGCCACAATAGCATTCCAGCACGCTTGATGAGCATCAGAGCAAATACTACAAAGTCTGGGCACTGCCTTTTGCCTAGTATACAATTACTCTTGTAGAATGCCATAAAACTGTTTGTAAAAGGACTGGAGGAGGATGTTATCTCTACTTCTGTGGCGTCACTATACCACTCCCATTTGTTAATGACTCTGGGGTCCAAAGAGCAGGTTCATGTTGACAAACTGGGTGAGAGGTCATCATGATCTCTTATGGCTTGTCTCCCCAGCTTAATTTGGGAGCTGGGGACCTCAACTCCTGTCCTCTGCTTGTGCAGAAAGTCACCTACCCACCCCCATTTCCGAACTCCTTTCATTGCTTTTTTGCTGGTCCCTGACTTCCTGCTTTTCACCCTTCTCTACCTGTTTCATGGAAACATCCAGTTCCTCTAGATCTTTCTTTCCTGCGATCTGAAACAAGTTAAGCCTCAGTAGGAGAGATCATGACTAAGCTACGAGAAGAAAAAAACTGAATTCCATGTTCTGACTTCTTTTCCCTGCAGGTTCCTGCAATCCACCCACTTCTACTGTACCTGTTTCTTGCAGGATACAGCAGCCAGC